TCGCCGGGAGAGAGTCTGCTTAAGCTATTAGATCTTGTTTGTGGACTGGGCCCTGAGGTTCCCCAGGCTTATTGTCCTGGGTGACTTCAATGTACATGCCGAGGCACCATCATCCTCATCAGTAACTAAGGACCTAGTACTAATCTTGGAAACTTTGGGGCTCTCATTAATCAAGACTCGCCCCACTCATCGAGCCGGTCATACTTTAGACCTGATTTTCCATATTGGAGTACAGACATCTTTATTGGCGGTAATTGATGTCCCCTGGTCTGACCACGCTGCCCTGAAGGTCCGGATTGAGACTCCATCTCCTCCTTCCCAAGCTGTCAAACCAATCCTTGCCCGCTCCAGAAGACTCATGGAACCTGCCAGGTTCTTGAATGCCCTTAAGGGCCTTGGAACTGTGTGCGTCACTCTCAATGAGCAAGTCAACAACTGGAACACCAGTCTGCTGGTTGCCTTGGATGAGATTGCTCCCATGCGCCACTTCTGCCCTTGCCAGAATCACTCCCCTTGGTACACTAATGAGCTACGGATGATGAAGCAAGCACAAAAGCGGCTGGAACATCGGTGAAGACAGAAACCTGGCGAAGTGTCAATGTCTACTTTTAAGGCTTTTCGCAAGTCCTATGAGTCAGCCATCAAGGATGCTAAAAAATCTTATAATTCTTCCTTAATAGCCTCTGCTAGATCGCGCCCAGCACAGTTATTCAAAATTGTTCATGCCTTGATTAGTCCGGCTCCTTTAGTCCAGAACCCAACAACTATGCCTATAACAACTTTGGCATTCCAGGAATTTTTCACTAACAAAATTACCATGCTTACCTTGCCAATTACCGTCCTGTTTCTAATCTGCCATTCTTAGGCAAGGTGATAGAGTGGGCTGTACTGGGACAATTGCAGCAGATCCTGGATGACACAATTGGCCTCGACCCTTTCCAGTCAGGTTTTCGCCTGGGTCATGGGACGGAGACAATCCTGGTTGCCATTACGGATGAACTCCGTCGCCAGTCTGACAATGGTGGATCCGCGCTACTGGTATTTCTCGACCTTACCGCAGCATTTGACACCGTCGACTACGATCTAATGATTCACCGTCTTGCCATGTCCGGAGTTCGTGGTCAAGCCCTCAATTGGTTCAACTCATTTCTCCGGAACCGGAGTCAACGCGTGGAGTACATGGATCAAGTCTCTGATAGATCCCGCCTCCTATGTGGGGTCCCCCAAGGTGCAATTCTCTCTCCTCTTCTCTTCAACATCTACCTTAGACCCCTTGCTAGCTTGGCTCAGAGTTTCGGCCTGGACTGCTACCAATATGCAGACGATACCCAACTCCTTCTGCGTCTGGAGCCTGGAGCAGCGTCAATTCCAGACAATTTCACCCTATGTCTGGAAGCTCTGTCAAACTGGTTACATGCTAGCAGACTGAAGGTGAACCCGGCGAAGACTGAGATTCTCTGGCATGGCCGCCCGGCAGGTCTGACTCCTCCATTACCCACCTTCGATGGTGCTGCCCTATCTCCATCGACCACTGTTAAGAGCTTAGATGTCATCCTGGATGCACAGCTGACAATGGAAGCTCAGGTCGCTGCTGCCAGCAAACAGGCCTTTTTCCATCTACGACAAGCGAGGCAACTGGCACCCTACCTATCTGACGAGGCTCTGGCAACTGTCATCCATGCCACGGTCACGTCTAGGCTGGACTATTGCAACGCGCTTTATGTGGGCCTTCTGATGTCTACGACCCGAAAGCTTCGTATTGTTCAGAATGCGGCAGCCAGGTTACTTACAAGAATGCCCATGAAATGCCATATAACACCAGTGCTGCAACATTTACATTGGCTTCCAACTGAGTACCGTGGCCTGTTTAAGATGCTAGTTCTGACCTTTAAAACTCTTTACGGCCAGGGTCCATCGTACCTTAGGGACCGCCTCTTCTTCTCCCATCATCGGAGGTCGCAACGACCAGCCCAACGTGACTTACTCCATATACCGGGTCCTAGAGAAGTGCACTTGGAAAGGACCAGACGCAGGGCTTTTTCTATTTCTGCCCCTGCCTTGTGGAATTCCTTGCCGCCCTACATGAGAGCCATGCGTGACTTAGGGCCTTTTACTCTCGCACTTAAGACCTGACTTTTTTACTAGAGCATTCGATCTCTGTTGATTTTTAATTTTTGTATGTATATATTTTATCTTTTGTAATTTAGCTGTAAATTGCCTGGAGCATTCTCGGATGGAGGGCTATTAATAAGTTATTAAATGATGATGATGATGATGCTGATGATGATGATATTACTATACCTTGAAAGTACAGGTAGTCTCCAAGTTAAAAAAAAACCATCCAGCTTATAAACAACTCATAGTTAAGAATGGGGGACAATGAGAAGCGAGAGAAATCTACCCCTAGGAAGGGAAATCCACTCCTGAAAGAGTTATCATGGGGGAAAGAGTTCTCCGCTGAAACTTATCACCAAGCTGTTTCCACAAAAAGCCTTTTTTTTTTTCAAAATCCAATTGTCAGAAAAACAGAAAGTGTGGCCAAATCTTCTGAACAGGGGCACAGACAACAAAATAAACGCCATAGGAGTGTTAAATATTCCCTATGGTATACATGATTTTTTGACCGGAGTTACATTTTAAAAAATGTACCTGTTCCAACTTACAAACAATTTCAACTTAAGAGCAAACCTACAGTTCATAACTTGGGGACTGCCAGTACTAGGCAAGATTTTGTGGTTAAAACTTTAAATCCATCCTTTAGCATAAACAACAGCAAGGCTACCTGGGTTGTCTAATCCATGTACATTTTCAGTTTTGGATGAAAATAATTTTCCTTTTGAGAGGCAACACTAAACACTTAGTAGTCTTTCATATATATCCCATAGCAGGAAAAGTGCGGTGCTCATACTGCCTGCGGCTCCCATTCTTAATTTTAATATCCCCAATATATAGTTTGTCTGACAATAATAGGCCCAATGCCTCAGTAGAGTAAGTCTTCCCCTTTTTACAATACTGTTATAAATATACAAGGGTTGGAGACTAGACAACAGGACCAAGAAAGCCCTTTTTATAGCAGTGGGAGAAGTTTGACTTTTAAGGTTTTAATGAGTAGGCAGCCCAAATATCTACAAGGTGTATCGGGTATTACAAGGGGTGTCCCTTATTTGAGGTCAGAAAGGGTATCTCTCCTTAGACAGAGTTGGAGATTGGAAAACTCTTTCTCTTTATATAAAGAAGATGCAGAGGATCATTTATATTTCTGGGTACAGGCCTGACCAGCACAAAGTGCCCTGGGAGGGGGAAACAACTCCCCAATGAAGTAGTTATTAAAAACAGATTAAAAAACAGTTTAAAAGAACAGGTTAATGTAGTCGGTATAGAACCAAGGGGACTTTGAAGGAGAGGTCAAAGCACTGGTGGGGGGAGTGCTAAAAGGGATGGGAGGAACACTTTACAAGTCTAGTAGCATTTTAGTTGTAACAGGCTGCTCTAACTAGATTCCTGACAGGGTGTCATTTTGCGGGGTCGACCCATCATCCCACTAATTTTAAGTGCTGCAGCACAAAACTTAGCAACATCGTAACGTATTGTAGTGCTAGAGTCCAAAAGCAGCAGGGTAGAGTAATACTTTTTTGGGTGTTTTTTTGTTTATTTTTTGTCGTGTCAGGAGCAACTTGATAAACTGCAAGTCGCTTCTGGTGTGAGAGAATTGGCCGTCTGCAAGGACATTGCTCAGGGGACATCCGGATGATTTGATGTTTTTATCATCCTTGTGGGAGGCTTCTCTCGTGTCTCCGCATGAGGAACTGGAGTTGATAGAGGGAGCTCATCCGCCTCTCCCCGAATTCGAACCTGCGACCTGTTGCAGTCCTGCTGGCACAGGGGTTTAACCCACTGCGCCACCCACTAAAATGAGAAGCCATGGTGTAATGAGATTAGTTTGAAGGTCTCTGTAGAGAAGAAGCACATGCTCCGTTGTTTCTACGTGTCCAGATTCACAGGGCCAGAGTCTCTCCTTGAAGGGGATCTTTCGATACCTCTCTTCCAATAAGCTGATGGGAGAACATGGCACCTTGCCAGGATAAAAGCCCTTCGGTGTTTGGGCACCTCCAGGTCTATTGTCAACTCTGAGGATGCTTGGCATAGATGCTGGCAAAACGTCAGGAGAAAATGCCTCTAGAACATGGTCATATAGCCTGAAAAAACCTACAACAACCCACCTCCAGGTCTGTTTGTTATGCCATGGAGGCAGGGAGGTATCTAATGGCTTCAGGTCCAATTGGTGCTCTATGTTCAGGATTCACTGAGATGCTTGGCTTGGTCCCATATCATGCTTAGCCATTGTCCTTGGGGAAACCTAGTGTTGCGATCTTTACTGCCACTGTTTTAGTCTGCGTGGACTGGAAGTCGGCCCTCATGGTTAGAGGCAAAACCACGTGGGGAGAAGATACTTGTTGCTTCCTTGAAAAACAAAATTCAGGAACCCTAAGTCCCAATGAACCTCCCAGTTCATTAATTAGACCAGGGGTCCACAAACTAAGGCCCGGGTGCCGGATGCGGCCATCCAAGGTCATTTACCTGGCCCTCGCTCAGGGTCAACCTAAGTCTGAAACGACTTGAAAGCATACAACAACAATCCTATCTCATCAGCCAAAAGCAGGCCCACACTTCCCACTGAAATACTAATAAGATTATATTTGTTAAAATTGGTCTGCTATTTAATTATTGTATTGTTTTAAAGTGTTTTTTCATTACAAATAAGATATGTTCAGTGTGCATAGGAATTCATTCATGCTTTTTTTCAAATTATAATCCGTCCCTCCAACAGTTTGAGGGACTGTGACCTGGCCCTCTGTTTAAAAAGTTTGAGGACCCCTGAATTAGGCAATACACACTTTCTTTACAAACCACCCAAATCGCGCATGGTGCGCATGCGCTGAGCAGGGAAGCCCCTCCCCCCGCTCGGCCCTAAGGCGGGGAGGGGCGTGGCTGCGGGGTGAAGTGGCAGCCGCCAAACCCCGCCCCCTCCGAGGCCTCGCCGGCGTTCCGTCAGCAGAGACCGCTCTTCCCAACAGCCGCGTTTCGCTCTCAGCCCCGCCACGTAGACTCGGGCTGATGGGATGCTGCTGCTGCGAAGGGGCCTGTCGGAACCATGGACCTCGACGAAGCTTTCGGGATGGTGGGGGAGTTCGGCCCCAGCCAGAAGAGGCTCACCGCGTTCCTGGTGCTGCTGCAGGTGGGAGCACAGCCCAGCACACCCCTTCCTTTCGCCCAATTGTTGGGCCCCTTCCTCCTCTCTATCCCTTCCTCCCCACCGCGCGCTTCCTTTTTCGACGCTTGGTGGGAGGAGCCAACTTTCGCGCAGAAGTAGGCGGGGCCAAATCTCGCTCCCGTTGCCTAGGCGACGTGGAAACTTGCTTGGCCTTTCCAGGGTCACGCTCTCCCCCTCCCCACTTCCCCTCCATGGCATTGGGCCCCCAGAATCTCCGCTGCCTGGCGACGATGGGGTCCAGCACATGGAAAGGAAGGGCTCCAGGGAGCCCTCTCGCTTCTCCGGCGTGGGAAGGAAATAGAAGCCGGACAGGAAATATGTAGGAGGAGGCCCTTTTTTGGTCCTTTCAAGGTTGCATCTACACTTCAGAATGAATGCAGTCGTGACATCCCCTTTAACTCCCATGCTGTGGAATCATGGGAGTTCTCGCTTCACGTGGTTTTCCTTTAGCCTTCTCTGCCAGAGGGCTGGCACCTCTCCAAAGTGCAGATCCCATGATTCCATCGCATTCCGCCCTGGCAGTTAAAGTGGCGTCAAACTACATTAATTCCATAGTTTAAATGCGCCCTTGATTTCCAATTCAAACCATTCCCTCCTTTATAAGGTTTAACTAACATATGGAGTGTTTCTGTGCCACGTCATTGTTTTTTGCTATGAGCTCACGCCTTTCCTGAAAATTATAATGTGACTAGGGCTAGATCCAATAGTAAAGAGTAGAGAAATCAGACTGGCAACAAAGATCCACCTAGTCAAAGCCATGGTATTCCCTGTAGTCACCTACGGATGTGAGAGCTGGACCTTAGGGAAGGCTGAGCGAAGGAAGATAGATGCTTTTGAACTGTGGTGTTGGAGGAAAGTTCTGAGAGTGCCTTGGACTGCGAGAAGATCCAACCAGTCCATCCTCCAGGAAATAAAGCCCGACTGCTCACTGGAGGGAAGGATAGTAGAGACAAAGTTGAAGTACTTTGGCCACATCATGAGGAGACAGCAAAGCCTAGAGAAGACAATGATGCTGGGGAAAGTGGAAGGTAAAAGGAAGAGGGGCCGACCAAGGGCAAGATGGATGGATGGCATCCTTGAAGTGACTGGACTGACCTTGAAGGAGCTGGGGGTGGTGACGGCTGACAGGGAGCTCTGGCGTGGGCTGGTCCATGAGGTCACGAAGAGTCAGAGACGACTGAACGAATGAACAACAACAAGGGCTAGATCTACACTGCCTTATAATCCAGTATCTGATTCCTGATTACACGAGTCTACACTGCCATATAATCCAGTTCAGAAACTTAATTAAACATATTTTGAGATTTCCTATTAGTTTAGGGGAGTGCCTTTTCAACGACAGCCTACTAAGGCTGCACCTACACTGTAGAATTAATGCAACTCAACACCACTTTACTCCTATGACTCAATGCTATGGAGTGGTGGGATTTGTAGTTTGTTGTGGCACCAGCACTCTTTGGTAGAGAAAGCTGAAGACACTAAAACAAACACCAGCTCTCATGATTCTATCGCATTGAGCCATGGCAGTTTAAAAGGTGTCAGACTACATTAATTCTACAGTGCAGATGCACTCTAAGGCTCCTACACTGCCATAAAAATCCAGAATATCTGCTTTGAGCTGGATTATATGGCAGTGTAGACTCATATAATCCAATTCAAAGCAGATAATCTGTATTTTATATAGCAGTGTAGATGGGCCTAAGTCTGGGCAGTCAAAAGCATGGGTTTGTTTAGAAGAACGTTGATTGAAGGGGACCAAAACCAGCACCATCCTGCATGACATTTGAGTATTCAAGAAGTGGGATCATTACAACTGAGCTGAATGGCAGCAAGAGGACAGAAGAAAGTAGTACTTGCAATATGATATCATGGTCTAAGGTTGCCAGAGTTGAAACTGGAGAGGACTCCTGTATAATTCATGGTTGTGTGGAAGAGGGGATTACTCCAGCCATTGCTTGTTACTGGAAGTGTAACACCTGATGAATTTTTCTCTTCACAACCAGTGATGTCACCCCATGGACTTCCTCCTAAATCAGATCATCCCAGAAAATTTGACAAAAATTATTGCTATTAAAAAAAACCAGTAGTAGTAGAAACAGTAAAGTGTGCTTACTCATGGTGCATACAGATGAAACAACAGGATTTGAAGTGTCATTGTAATTCCTTCCTTTGCCTGGGCAAAGCAGACACACATGGCATGCAGGAACAGGAGGAGGAGCAGACCCTGTCTCCCATGTCCCTGTCCCCGCAATATCACCTATCCTCCGGATCTAGCACACACATGGCACACAGACACATAGGAAGAAGAAAAGGAAGACAAATCTACAGGGTAAACATGTGGGAAATGCTCCTCCTCTTCTTAGAATCATACAATCATAGAATAATAGAGTTAGAAGAGACTTAACCCTGCCACATCTGGACGAGGGAAGGCACAACAGGAGGAGGCGGCAGTGGCAGCAGCAGCAACTGGACTTGACCTCGGCAGTATAAGCCTGGCAGAGTTTGGTTTTTTTTAAAAAAAAATATTAATTTCTCCATACAGATAACAAAACAATACAATACTAACCTTAGCCATCTAAAAGATAATATCGAAAACTGATTACAAGCCTGGCAGAGTTGAGGAGCCTGATGTACTGCTTCAGAAGAAACATCTCCAGCCAGCCCTTCTGTTCCTGCCTTTGGAACTCCTTGTGAGTAGACTGCAGCCCCAGGCCCTTTTCATCTGGGTGTGACTCAGCACTTCCAAGGAAGGTGCAACTATAAAGCCTGAGTCCACAAGGCCTGGCAGGGCTGAGTAGTCTGCTGTGCTGTTGCAGAAGAGGCCAGAAACATCTCCAGCCAGCTCTTCTGTTGCTGCCTTTGGGAATCCTCCTTGAAAGGCTGACTGATATACACTGCCCATTCCATGGATCGGTGGAGGCCGGTTTCACAAGACAGTCAGCATTGCTGGCCGCTCCAGGCTCCATTGTCCACGAAGCAGTCAGTGTTGCTGGCTGCTCTAGGCTCCATCTGCACCACCTGCTTTATCTGCCCCACTTCGTCCTTCGCTGTTAGGCTCGCCACCGGATGAAGGCTTTGCTGGGCTGCTTCAATCTCTGAACATCATGTGAGACCTCTACTACAATGCCTCCACTACAGTGCCTTCTACTCTATCATCAGCTGGATTGCGTCCATCTTGGTGCAGGCTGTTTTGAAGGATATGAAGAGACTCTATTGCTGCAACTGGAGTTGAGGGGAGGGCGTGACTTGTTGAGAACATTGTGAGGTCATCTGCTGCTCAAGGGATGCCGGCGAGTAGCACGGGTTCCTTGGCTCCGGCCAAACCAACAGGAATTGCTTCTTCTTTGCCCGCCATTGCCATTTTACTGCTGCTGAGGGCATTTTCCAGTATTTTTCCCCCTCTCTGACTAGCCTCATAGCCAGGTTTTAATCCCAACTCCACCATCACTTATTTTATCATCTTATTTGGGGACCCTTAATAAAGGACATTGTGGCTATTACCATCAAATACCATTGCTAACATTAAGCTATTTGCACTACTAAAACTTGATCTCACTGCTTGCACTTTATTCGAAGAACTTACCCACAGACTGTGTTATATAGCCTGCCTTGCACTTTATAGACTCTAAGATCTACTCACTTATGCTGACCCATAACCCCTTGCACTTAGCACTTTTGCTTGCACTTTATGTACTTGGAGGGGGTTGGAGGAGACTGGAGGGAACTGAAGAGGGAAAGAGTGGGGAATAAAGCCAGCTAATAATGAAGAACTAAATGAAAAAACCACTATTAAGCCATGGGCTGAGGACGGGGGAGGGGAGCATGCTGGAGGAGGGGGGAGTTCTAGTGGGTGAGATTCTCCCATAAAAGTTATATCTGAGAGGAGGAGATATGGGAAAAGGAGACCTAAACAATTAATTTGGTCTAGTTCCAAAATGCTCTTCTGACATGGCTAAACTTTTTTTGAGAAACTGCAAGTCGCTTCTAGTGTGAGAGAATTGGTTGGCTGCAACAACATTGCCCGGGGGATGCCTGAATGTTTTGATGTTTTACCATCCTTGTGGGAGGCTTCTCTCATGTCCCCGCATGGGGAGCTGGAGCTGACAGAGGGAGCTCATCCGCACTATCCCTGGATTCAAAGCTCTGACCTGTCGGTCTTCAGTCCTGCCGGCACAAGGGTTTAACCCATTGTGTCACTGGGGGCTCCTACGGTTAAACTGAGTACCCAGGATGGCGGTCCCTCTAAATTAAGAGTGGTGCTGTTAAATGCCAGATCTGTAAATGGCATCTTCTTCTCTCCTCACCCTCTTTACCTTCCTCTTTTTCCTCCTCGCCACTGTCGGGGCCCCACGACACCTCTGCCGCCTCTCCAATTGCAGGGCCCAAGTGGCGTCAAGAGGCCCAGGTGGCGACGAGGAGGAAGGTAAAGAGGGTGAAGGAGGTAAAGAGGGTGAGGAGGGAAGGTCCTGGAATGTAACCCCTGCAATAAGTGACGGAACACTGTATACAACAATATGTTATTATTTTTTACCCTAAATAACACAATCTGTTGATTACATTTTATTGTGGCTTGGATGGCTTCAATCATATATTTTGCAATTTAAATCTGGTCTTTATTCCTCCCATTACCTTCAATTTGTTGGGTAAATAATTGTTTCTTGTTTAATCTGGGCCATTTGGTGTGGGGTTTGATACCATTTTGTGTTTCCTTAATCCTTAAGTGTTTTCTTAATTTCTCTCATCGAATTCTCAATATCATTCTCCTTCCAATTTAATTTGTTTTTCCATATCTCAATTAAAATGTGTTTCATGTTTATATATATATATATATATATATATATATATATATATCCCCAATTCCTTTCTCCTTATCAAATTTCCATTTTAAAATTTGGTCTAAGTCTGCTTCTGGGCTTTCCTTTCTTTTCCATTTTATTATCCTCTGATTCCATGCCATAATAGCC